CGGTCCTTAACGACGACAAAGCGGTCGATAATCTTTCCCTTCTGTCCGTCCAATCAAAGCAGTTGTCAGTAAAATAGGAAAACCCTTTGGCGCAGGAAATACCTGATCGTCGGACACCTGTTCCAGCGACACGTGAGTCTTGTTGTGGACAGTCATCCGAGTGTAGCCGTAATCAGTGCTGCGAAAGGCCGACCAATCGGGAACGTGTTTGCGGAACTTGGCGTGATGTTCGTCGCATCCCTGTCCACACAACAGACAAAACCATACTACCAGTCCTGTCAATACACTGCAACACTTACAGCACTGCCGGTGATGACAACCACCGGTCCCTTCGGGTTGTGGTAGGGATGGGCTGTGGAGCCGTTCAGCACGTGATTGTCGTAGACGGGGAACAGGCGCTGGTAGTTGTGTTCGTGTCCGTAGAGCTGGATGTCGACGCCGTACTTGAAGAACAGCGCTTCCAATCCGTACTTCCTTTTGCCCGATCCCTGCATTTTGATGCCTTTCCTGAGACGCCGTCTCTGGAAAGCGTCGGAGCTGTCGATCGGCGAACACGAGCGGTCGTCAGTCATGCAATACAACGGCTTGTGAGCCATAGTTATAATCCACGGTCGCTCAGCCCTACTCTCCAGAGAGTTGGCGGCGCGGAGGTCGTCGACCAGCCATTCGTATTGCCGGCGGATTTGGTTCCAACCGAAGTCCGTGTAATAGTAGTATTCAGTGGACAGGGAGACGAAGTGCGCCGGACCCATATTGAAGCTGTAGAAGTGGTTGTTTAGACTCCCGGTGCGCGAGTCTGTCATCGAGAAGCGGTGGTCGTAGTGCGAGAAGTTGCTGTCGGGGACAGGGAGGTCACCTCTGAGGGGAACTGGAGGTCGAAATACTCACTATTTGTGCTCATGATTGCCGGGACACACCTGATAGGGAACGTAGGCCGCGATCGGCTCTATTAAGCGCATGAAAGCGTCGCCGACTTTCCCGTTGTCCTCAAAAGCGAGACAAAAGTCAGAGGAAAGGCGTTTTCGGGGAAAGGCTTACGGAATGCAGATTGTAGGCAATGTCTCCCACGTGCAGAATCGCGTCGTACATCCCGCGCCTGACGTCCTGTTCCAGTCGGGGAACGGACTG